GGCACCTCATCTGGCTCACCCACTTCTTCACATCCACTGTGGTGAGTGAGTGCACTGACTCGTTCCTCCCTCCAGCTGTCTGGCACTTTGGCTCTGGGGTGTCTGATGTGGGAGTATAGGGAGGAGTTTGGCTGCTGGGCTGCCTGTTAATAATATCATTCTGTATTGTGCAAGTGTGGGTCACAATTTTGTGGGTGTTACTATGGACCACCTGATCAGGAGGAAGCTGAGGAGGCCTTCTACAGGCAGCTGAAAGTAACTTCACGATCCTGTCTCCTGTGATCCATGTCCTCCTTTCTCATGGGAGACTTAAGCCACCCTGACACTTGCTGGAAAGGAAACAGTGAGGCACACAGGTTCCTGCAGTGCATTGATGATAACTTTCTGACACAGGTGGTGGAGGAGCTAGAGAAGAAAGGTGTGCTGCTGGACCTTGGACTAATGAACACAGAAGGTCTGGCTGGTGATGTGAAGTCTGGGGGCAGCCTTGGCTCCAAGGGCCATAAGATAGTGGAGTTCAGGATCATGTGAGGAAGAAGTAGGGCAATACGGATTGCAATCCTGGACTCCCAGAGAGCTAACTTGGACCTCTTAAAATATCTGCTTAGAGGAATCCCATGAGTTAGGGCTATAGAAGGGAGGGGGGGCTCAAGAAAGCTGGTAAATATTCAAGCTCCACTTCCTCTAGGCTCAAGATCAGTCTATCCCTATGAGTTAAAAAAAAAAATCAAGGATTTTTTTACTCATAGGTAAATTAAGGAGGTGGAAGAACAAGGAGCTTCTGAAAAAACTCCAGTGTAAGAAGAAAGTTTGCAGAATGTGGGAAAAGGGACTGGCCACTTGAGACGAATATAGATACTCTGCCAGAGTATGCAAGGGATGCAACAAAGGAGGTCAAGGCCCACCTGAAATCCAATCTGGCAAATAATGTAAAGGACAACAAGAAGGGTTTCTTAAAGTACATCAACAGCAAAAGAATGACTAGGGAAAACGTGGGCCCATTGCTGAATGAGGTGGGTGCCCTGGTGACAGAGGATAAACAAGGCAGAGATACTGAATGCCACATTTGTGTCAGTCTTTACTGCTAAAACCAGCTCTCAGGAATTGCAATCGCTGCAGGTAAAACAGTCTGGAGGAAGGAATACTCTCCCTTGGCCAAAGAGGATCATTTAGCATTAGAGATCATTTGGCCAAGCTGGATACCCTCAAATCCTTGGGCCCTGATAAGAATCACCCACGAGCAGTGAGGAAGCCTGATTGATGTTATTGCTAAGCCACTCCATCTTTTTTGAAATCTCATTGAGAACAGGAGAGACGCCTGAGGACTGCAGAAAAGTCAAGGTCACTCGAGCCTGCAAGAAGAAAGATTAAGGAAATTACAGGCCAGTCATCACCTGGAAAGGTGACAAAACAGCTCATTCTGGAGGTCATCTCCAAGCATGCGGAGGAAAAAAAAGGTTATCAGGAGCAGTCAGCATGGATTCACCAAGAGGTGTGGAGAGCTTAGCCACAGAGTGGCTAACAGCAAAGGGACATGATAAAGTGCAGCTGGTTGAAGTTTAATAAAACAAACTCCAGGTCAAGATAACCTGGGGTGCAACTATTGTAGGATAATGGGATGAGTAAAAGGAACTGGAACACTAAGATAAAGAACTGCTAACCGCAAGGCTAAACACGAAAGATAAACATAAGAGGGGTTGACATGTAATCTGTAACCAATGATGAGCTTCGCTTTTGCAATATGTATGAGCTAATTTAAATATGTATGAACTAAATAAGAACAATATAAAAGATGCCTTCTGATTGTCAATAAATGAGGCTTTCCGATCATCATAGGATGGTGTCTGTCTCCCGCTTATTCTCCATCAAAGAGGAAATCACACTTCACCAATCTGACAGGCCTCTATCACAGTGTGACTAGCTGGGTAGATGGAAGGAGAGCAGTGGATATTTTCTGCCTCAACTTCAGCACAGCTTTTGAGACTGTCTCCTGTAATATCCTCACAGGGAAGCTTGGGATGTGTGGGTCAGATGAGTGGGCAGTGAGGTGGGTTGAGAACTGGCCGAATGACAGAGCTCAAAGGATTGTGGTCAGTGGCATAGAGTCTGGATGGAGGCCAGTAGCGAGTGGAGTTCCCAAGGGGTCAGTGCTGGGTACAGTCCTGTTCAACATACTCATCAGTGACCCAAACAAAATGACAGAGAGTACCCTCAGCAAGTCTGCTGATGATACAAAACTGGGACGAGTGGCTGACACACCAGAAGGCTGTGCTGCTGTTCAGTGAGACCTGGACAGGCTGGAGAGCGGAGGGGAACCCAGTGAAATTCAGCAAGGGCAAGCATAGAGTCTTGCATCTGAAGAGAAATAACCCCAGTGCAGGTAGTAGCTCCACAGAGAAAGATCTCTGAGTCCTGGCAGACAACCATTTAACCCTGAGCCAGCAGTGTGCCCTTGTGGCCAAGCAGGCCAATGGTGTCCTGGGGTGCTACTGTCTCTCTATTGGAGAGAGGGCTACAGAGATGATGAGAGGACAGGACCACCTGTTAGACTAAGTTCTCTCAGCCTTTGCTTGTGTTTGGCATGGTGAAGAAAAGGCTAAGAGGGAAACTCATCAATGCTTAAAAATCTCTAAAGAGTGGGGTCAAGAGGATGGGGCCAGACTCTTTTTCAGCAGTGTCCAGTGACAAAGGGTAACAGACACAAACTGGAACACAGGAAGTTTCTCTTAAGCACAAGGAGAAAACTCTTTACAGTGAGGGTAACAGAGCACTGGAACAGGCTGCCCAGAGAGGTTGTAGAGTCTCCTTCTCAGGAGATTTTCAAAACCTGCCCGGATGCCTTCCTGTCCAAGCTGCTCTAGGTGAACCTGCTTTGGCAGGGAGGTTGGACTAGATGATCCCTAGCTGTCCCTTTCAACCCCTACCATTCTGGGAAAAACTATAAATGCAAGTAATTTAAAACATTCATTTTAAAAAAAACTGAAAACAGTATTATGATGTAATGAAAAATTACATGCTCTTCAGCTTGCATCTCTCAAAAAATAAAATGTAGCAAAATTCTATAGACTATTACAGTTCTGCTATTAATGCTCAAAATTCCTCTGCAATTGAGTCTCCCAAAAGATTTTCACAATCCTTGGTAGGCCTTGTTCTCACATTGTCTGTCTGTATATAATGAGAAGTTAATAAAGATCCCACTACAACTTTTTTCTAAATCTGAAAAGAAATAGTACTTCCACAATAGGAAAGAGATACAGACTGCTACTGGCTACTACCAGATATCAAACTTTTTTTTTTAATCAGGTGTATCACCATTTCTAATAGCAATGAAAACCTCATCTTCTGTCCAGCCTATTTAATGCTTCTGCTAGTATGGAAGAGCCAAGTGTACTAACTCACTCAGAGAACTGGGTTAAATTTAGTTTTTAATTGCAATCAGCTGATAATCACGACAAAGATGCAGTATTTACTCTACAGCTAGCTGCAATAATTCCAGATCAAAATAACATTTATTTTTTTTCTCTGCAGTATGGAAAAAAATAAAAACACAAGGAATGAAGGCAGCTTTACTTAAAGTAACATCCTTTTAAACTTCTCTGGATTTTATGTACTCTGTTACATACCTTGCTTACTTATGTTTAAATAGACAAAGGACATAGGATATCCGTGCAGAAGTCTTACACAGTTTCTTCTCACTTTATTCCTCCTCAGTTTGGGAGCAAAACATTAACAGGACAGGGGAATGAAGGCTCACAGATAGATAGATTTCATTTGATCCCTGATTGCAGCCAATGAAGCCCAGAACCACTCTTCCCTTTAGCTGCACTCCCTCTTCAAATGGCTAAGAGCACGAAGGAAAAAGTGAGGTCCTTCATAATACAAAAAGCAACTTCTCACCTAGATGACTCCGGAAGTGTTTAACAAACTCAATCCCTTCTTCTATTTTTTTCCAGAATTTTACATGTCCATCGTGACTGGCTGTTATGATAAAATCTGTCCTACAATTACCAAAAAAAAAAAAAACCCACAAATGATACACACATTATACACTTTGAGACTGAGCAGTAATTTGCACTACAAATAACGCTGTGTAGAGCATGAACTTTAAACAAATTACTGTGGCAATATGTCTGAATGGGCACTATCACCCCTGGAAAAGCAAACGCGTATTTGAATGCATTCTGCATTACAACCCTGCCCCTTCTGACTATATAAATTTCACCCCTACTCACATCTGGTTTCACAGTAGTTACTATTCCCTAATGTGTGTGTGATTAATAGAGAGGAGGAAAGAAAGCTATCTCCTCAATCTCTGTAGTGCTGCTGAAGCATATTTTGTTCAGATGCAGTCACTTGCACTTACTCCTGTATATAATGTAAATTGCAACAAGGATTTTAAGATCCCTCCTTTAGGCTAAAGCATTTTGATCTTGCTTCTTGACAAGACCTTTGCTCTGCACTTGGTCTTAAAAAAAACCTAAAATATCACCCCTGGATGCAGTAACTTTCCATTAAACTTCTACAATGGGAACTTCCTAGCGTACAGAGAAATATACCTCTGACAATAAGAAGCAGAGGAAAAAAGGACACTTACTTAGTACATGCTACGTGTGTAATGACATCTCTGTGCATGTAACTGCGTTCATACATCGAAGCACATGGTAGATTTTCAAGATAAACATGTTCAAATTCAAGAACTAAACAGAATAAAAAGAAAATTCAGGAAATAGATTTCTGTTTCATAAAGGTACATTTCGCTTCTGTTCTCCCTTACGTGTGCTTGAACAGCTTACTTCTAGTTTAGTCAAGACTATGCCAAGACTTTGTGCAAACAATAAAAGAGCTTTCCACTGTGTGTTTGTACTCAGAGTTACAGATTCTTGGTAGCCTAAAGTTACTCAAACTCCAATTTAACCCACATCAATGCCCTCTTTTAAAGCAAGTATCACCTTTGCTGTCTTGGCAGTAAACCAGCTTTTAAGTTATTGATAGACAGCAGAAGATCATCCACACCCCACTGACTTCCAAAACCAAATGTACCCCTGTTGTTGAGAGATTCAAGATCCCACACAGGTATCACAGCTTAAATTCTAAGTCCTAGCACCCACCCAGTTCACTGTTTAACTGGCCCGCCTAAAATAACCTGAATTCCTGATTTTGCCTCCAAATTGTACTCCCTAACCATTACTACCTGCACAGGGGTATTTGTTACTGAAATGGCAGGTTTGCTCCTTGTTGAGCATCGTGAAACTCACACCTTCATTACAGAGAAGCTCAAAGAGCTGTGAGTTAGCCAACACACAAACACAGCGGGTCAAAACGCAGCCCAGAGACTTCTCCTTCGCCTCCAGCTTAGGGCAGTGATCCCGGAGACAGGGAACTCCGACCGCCGCACACCACGGCCTCTCAGCCTGGGGCGTTCTCTGCAAGAGGCCGGCGTAGCGTTCCCAGCCCGCAATCCCGCCCCCGCGGGGTCCCTTCGCAGCCCGGTCGCTTCACGGCCGAGACCTCGGCTCGGACGAGAGGCCCCCGCAGCCCCGGGGCGCGAGGGTGCCG